AAAAAATTTTTTAATGTGAATTGAAAAAAAAATTTTTAACGGCAAGAAAAAGTATATCACACTTGTCAAAGAATAAGAAAACAGCCCCGGCTGGTGTTCTCAGTGGTTATAGCACCTGCCCGTGCACTGATTTGATTCTCACAGGTTTGGTTCTCAGTCAAGGGCACATACCTGGGTTGCAGATTCAAACCACAGCTCCAGTCTGGGCATGTGTGGGAGGCAACCAATTGATGTTTCTCTCTCTCTCTTTCTCTCTCTCTCTCTCCCCTTCCTTTCCACTACCTCTAAAAATCAATGGAAAAAATATCCTTGAGTGAGGATTAACCAAAAAAAAAAAAGAATAAGAAAACAAGCATGGCCACAGCAATGCTTTTCTAGAGTATGTTAAAGATAAACTGAGGCATATTAAAAACTTTAAGAGTTTATTTGAGCAAAAATAAATTCAAATCAGGCAGGGCCCAATCTAACAGAAAGGAGCTCTGAGGAGCTGTACAAAATAAGACTTTTATAGGCAGAAGGGAGCAGGAAAAAGAAAGTTATACTAGGCAAAAAGTGGGTTGGTTATTGCAAAGTCACTTTCCTTTATAAGATGACAGAGTTTATCAAGCAGAGTACCTAATTTGGTGATGTGGGGTTTAGCATAAGTAACACCATTCTTGGCCTGTTATATTTTTTCTTTAGGATAATTTGAAAATATGATTCAAAAACTCTAAAATTATGCATTGCTTTTGACTCATTCATTCCAATTCAAAGAATTTGTCCTATGACAATTATCACTGATTTAAAATTTTAAAAAAGAGATTTAGTCCTGGCCAGTGTGGTTCAGTTGGTTGAGCCTCCTCCCATGCAGAGGGAGGTCTCTGGTTTAATTCCTGGTCAGGGCACATCCCAGATTTCTAGCTGCACACACAGTATTGGGTGTACAAGAAACAGCCTTCTGATGTTTTGCTCTCCCTCTCCTTCTCTCTCCTTCTCTGTCTCTCTCTAAAAAATCAATGAGTCCTAGTTGGTTTGGCTCAGTGAACAGAGAATTGGCCTGCAGACTGAAGGGTCTTGGGTTCGATTCCAGTCAAGGGCATGTACCTTAGTTGCAGGCTCGAGCCCCAGTTGGGGTGCATTCGGGAGGCAACCGATCAATGTGTCTCTCTCATTTTGATGTTTCTCTCTCTGTCTCCCCCTTCTTTCCAGTCTCTCTAAAAATCAATGAAAAATTCCCTCAGGTGAGGATTAACAAAACAAAAAATCAATGAGGAAAAAAAGATTTAGCTATATGCATGTTCATCATAAGAACAAAAAATAGAAAAAACAAATGGCAACAAAATAAAATAATAATAATAAAAGAAAGAGAAAAAAAGAATGAAAATTGGCAAAGGTTTCTATTTTTATGTATATTTTTAAAAAATACTTTGCAGGTCCTAACCGGTTTGGCTCAGTGGATAGAGCGTCGGCCTGCGGACTGAAAGGTCCCAGGTTCGATTCCGGTCGGAGGCATGTACCTTGGTTGTGGGCACATCCCCGGTAGGGGGTGTGCAGGAGGCAGCTGATCGATGTTTCTCTCTCCATGTTTCTAACTCTCTATCCCTCTCCCTTCCTCTCTGTAAAAAATCAATAAAATATATATTTTTAAAAATACTTTGCAGCAATACAAATTATGTCCTGAGCAAATATTATTGGAGGAAATGGTTTCAATGTTAAATGAAACAGATACAAAACCATTTGTATGATTAAATTTTGTAAAAAACAGAAAATATATTTGTTAAACTCAAAAGCAAATAGAGATCAGTCTTGGAGGTCCCCTGAACAGACAAAACCAGTTTAGCCATTAATTTCGTTTAATTACCAATCACTGTGAAGATACTGCTTTCTCACTGTATAAGCTTCTTTGTAATAATATACCCGAGCTTCATTCCATGTTTTGGTTCAAGTGTTCCTGGTTTACAAACTTTCTTTTTGGTGTGTGCACAATAAACTTTTACTAATTACTACTTCAGTGATTCATTGGTTTTACTTTGGCTATTTCTGAATCTTTGACAATTAAAACACAAGAGGAAAACCACAGTTAATATTTTAGCATATGAGTGTGGTGGAATTATAATTTTTATTTCTTCTTTAAAGTTTTGTGTATTTCCCAGATGCTCAAGCTCCAGGAAAAAATTATTATCCAACCACTGAAAAGAAAGGATAATTATCTAACATGATAGAAGCACTACATATCACTACAATCTACACTAATAAAAGACAAACATGCAAATTGACCATACCTTCGCTATGCCTTAAGCCACGCCCATCAGCCAATCAGAGCGACTATATGCAAATTAACCCAACCAAGATGGTGGCCGGCAGCCACGGAGCTGGAGCAAGCAGGAGGCTTGGTTGCCCCAATGATGGAGGAAGCCAAGCTTCCTGCTTGCCATGGCTTGGCTCTGAGCTCCACTCAAAGCAACAAAGTTTCAATTATAGAAGGTAAATAAACTCTAGATACCTGCTTTCAGCCTGCCATGGCCACGGAGCTGGAGCGAGCAGAAGGCTTCCCTCCTGCCCGCTCTGGCCGGCTCTGAGCTCCTCTCAAGGCTACAAAGTTTCAATTATAAAATGTAAATAGCCCTGACTGGTTTGGCTCAGTGGCTAGAGCATCAGCCTTCGGACTCAAAGGTCCTGGGTTCGATTCCGGTCAAGAGCATGTACCTTGGTTGCAAGCACATCCCCAGTGGGGAGTGTGCAGGAGGCAGCTGATCGATGTTTCTCTCTCATCGATGTTTCTAACTCTCTATCCCTCTCCCTTCTTCTCTGTAAAAAAAAAAAAAAATCAATAAAATATATTTTTTAAAAAATGTAAATAAATCCCAGAATAAAAAAAATAAATAAAAAAGGAGAGGCTGGGAGCTTCCGTCAGTGGAGGGTTTGGCCGGCCTGAAAACGGCCCTCAGACCCTCACTCAGACTGGCCAGGCACCCCAGTGGAGACCCCCACCCTAAAGGGGGTGTGGCCAGCCTGCAAACAGTCATCAGCCCCTCACCCAGGCTGGCCAAACCTCCATGGGGTGAGGGTCCCCACTGGGGGGGCTTGACCAGCCTGAAAACAGCCATCAGTCCCTCACCCAGGCTGGCCAGGCACCCCAGTGGGGACCCCCACCCTGAAGGGGGTGTGACAAGCCTGCAAACAGCCATCAGCCCCTCACCCAAGCTGGCCAGGCACCCCAGTGGGGACCCCTACCCTGAAGGGGGTGTGACCCGCCTGCAAACACCCATCAGCCCCTCACCCAGGCTGGCCAGGCACCCCAGCAGGACCCCCACCCTGATCCGGGACACCCTCAGGGCAAACCAGCCGGCCCCCACCTGTGCACCAGGCCTCTAGCCTATATAATAAAAGGGTAATATGCAAACTGACCCTAACAGCAGAATGACTGGGAATGACTGGTCACTATGACACACACTGACCACCAGGGGGCAGATGCTCAATGAAGGAGCTGCCCCCTGGTGGTCAGTGCACTCCCACAGGGGGAGCTCTGCTCAGCCACAAGCCAGGCGGACAGCTGCCAGTACAGTGGTGGTGGTGGGAGCTTCTCCCGCCTCCTCAGCAGCGCTAAGGATGTCCGACTACAGCTTAGGCCTGCTCCCCGCTGGCAAGTGGACAGCCCCCGAGGGCTGCCAGGCTGCCAGAGGGATGTCTAACTGCCAGCTTGGGCCTGATCCCCCAGGGAGCGGGCCTAAGCCAGCAGGTGGACATCCTCCGAGGGGTCCCAGACTGCAGGAGGGCATAGGCCAGGCTGAGGGACCCCCCCCCCCCCAGTGCACAAATTTTTGTGCACCGGGCCTCTAGTGGCAATCATAATACAATATATCAATGTATCAAATCAACACATTGTACACCTTAAATTTTTACACAACATTATATGAAAAATATGTTTAATTAAAAATTATTAGAAAAGCCTGGCTGGGCCCTAACTGGTTTGGCTCAGCGGATAGAGCATCGGCCTGTGGACTGAAGGGTCCCAGGTTCGATTGCAGTCAAGGGCATGTACCTGGGTTGCGGGCACATCCCCAGTAGGGGGCGTGCAAGAGGCAGCTGAATTGATGTTTCTCTCTCGTCGATGTTTCTAACTCTGTATCCCTTTCCTTCTCCCTTCCTCTCTGTAAAAAATCAATAAAATATATTTTAAAAAAAAGAAAAGAAAAGCCTGGCCGGTGTTGCTCAGTGGTTAAACATGGGCCCATGAACCAGGAGGGCACAGTTTGATTCCCAGACAGGGCATATGCCCAGGTTGTGGGCTCGATCCCTAGCAGGGGGCAGCTGGTCAATGATTCTCATCATTGATGTTTCTATCTCTCTTTTTCTTCCTCTCTCTGAAATCAATAAAAATAAAAATATAATTTATTTTAAAAAATCCTGGCCTGTGCCTTGCCATTCCTTTATTTAAAAAATTATTAGAAGAAAAAAGGTAAAGGTAAAAAACAGAAAAAAATGCTTTTGACTTCTGTGGTCTTTCTAATCAACTGCTTGGTTCACCGGCTATACACCAAGCTGATTTGTGAGGAATACTTAGGCTGTTGCCCTGAAGCATGAGGTGCAGAAGTGTCAGAGTGCCCAACCAGGGTCAGGGGCATCCCTGCATAGTGGATTGCTCATATCCCTTTCCTATATTGGGCGGCTCTCACAAAGGCCACACCCTGGCAGCTAAACAGAACAGAGGCCCCCCAAAGATGCTGGACTTACTCCTATCTATAGATACTCAGTGAGTGGGAGCCACTTCCTTGGCTTCTCTCCTGCCTCCCTCTCCCTCCCCTGGGCCTTGGGTTTTCTTTCTGAATGTGTCTCTGTGAGTATGTAAAGTGTAAAATACTTGCCCACCAAATTCAAGGTTATAAATGCAGGAAATAACAACCGAAAAAGTCCTAATCCTACTCCTCAGGGCCCTTGCTGGCCTTTGTCTCTCAAGATCTAGGTTCTTACACAGCAATATGCAGTTTTACATTTACATGCGTTTACACTATACTTTCGGCCTTAACAATAGCTAACCCTACCTTTGTTTCCTGCCTAATAACCGCTCATTACTAGCTCCCTCCTTGTTTCCCAATAATTTTTCTCTTTAGCTGAACAAGGTCTTTAGGATGATGGCTTGCACCATTGCTGAGAGTTACTCAGTTTTCCTGGGTCTCTCCCTTATATACAAGAGGTATAACATGTTATTAAAACTTGTTTTTCTTCTGTTAATCTTTTATTACATTGGGGGTGTCTCAGACAAGTATCTAGAAGGGAAAATTGTCTTCCCCAACAAAACCCAGCATGCCTGAAGCCTCACTGACCAGCACCTTCAGTTTGTACACAGCCAGCCACTTTCCCTCAAGTGCCCCAAGGTAGGGAGCGGCTCTAGGTCAAGCCTCAGGCTGACCTGTGGCAGGGCCACAAACAAGTCCCAGCCTGGAGGGCAGAGCTCTCCTAGCATAACTAAGCCTGGCCTTGTAGCCCTCCCTAATTCCTTCCTAAGTAGCTAATGGGCTGTGGGAGGTGCAGCAAGTGTTGCCAAAACAAGAACATTTGTATACATGTTAATCTACCCTTGTTTTAATGAGAATGTAAAATAAAGCATCGGCTTGCAGGCTGGATCTTTCTGTGTCCTCATCCAGGCATGGAAGATCCGAGGAGGCCCAGCTGTATTCTCTTAGTCCGTCTTCTTTAATCCTTCGCCGCCCCATCCTCAGGTTCACCCTTGGCCGTGCTGGCACAGCACACCCCAGGGGGAAGTATCAGATGGGGTTCTAACCAGACATGCACTGTCCAGGAAAACCCCATCTCATGATACTCTGGGCCTAATGTGTTATTTACCGGAGTTGCAAATCAAATTGTTCATATCCAGATTCCTCATCTGTGCAAAGAGCAGGTCTGTACAAACGGGTGGAGTGTTTTCATAGTGCTGTCAAGGGTTAGCAGAATGGAAGGGGTCAATAACAAAGTGAATGGAAAGAGAACTTGGAAAGTGGATGGCTGGATGGAAGGACAATGTCCAGAATTCAGTAAGGGCCCCTTCCTATGATGCTGCACAGGCAGAAGGTAGTGTCAAGAGACATCAAAACCTTCAGAAAATTTTTATGAGTTTAGTTGAGCCAAACTGTGATAGGAAGCAATATCAACAGATTGAAAAAATGCTCCAGAGGTTGTAGTTTATTTTATATCAGAATAAAAGGAGGAGACATAAGGAGGGTTACATGAAATCCACTGGTGGTAAATTAAGTCAAGATAAAAGCAAACTGAGAAATTTCTGGGGTTGGATAAGAAGGCAAAATAAAGAAACCTATTTCCTTTACATTGGTGGGTACAGGAGAGTAAATAACTAACATTTATAGCACAGAGATGGGATGCGGGGAACAAGATAATGAAGGTTCTGTGGTCTGGAGCTCTGGTACAGCAGTTGTGCCTTGAGGGGTCTGGAAAAGATAACTCCTATTTCAAAGGCGTGTTACCTTAGATGTGAAAAGACATAGACAGACTTACTTAAGGTAAAAAAAAAGGACCTTTGTCAAGGAAGCTATAAGCCTAAAACATGACTACCCACCATGACTGATTGTTAGGAATTTTTATGTTCAGAACACCCTATATCAGTGATGGTGAACCTTTTGAGCTCGGCGTGTCAGCATTTTGAAAAACCCTAACTTAACTCTGATGCCGTGTCACATACAGAAATTTTTTGATATTTGTAACCATAGTAAAATAAAGACTTATATTTTTGATATTTATTTTATATATTTAAATGCCATTTAACAAAGAAAAATCAACCAAAAAAATGAGTTTGCGTGTCACCTCTGACACGCGTGTCATAGGTTCGCCATCACTGCCATATATGGTTACTTTCAGTCCCTGAGTTTGTACAGCCCACAATGCAAGCCTCCCGAGCTTGTCGGGTTTGGTATGTGGCCCCTTTTTCGTCCACAGTAGAAATGGGTGAGGGCAGGGAGCCTGAGGTGGGGAACATGAGGCAGTATAAACAGCTAGTGTCACAGTGTGGGAGCCTGAAGCAGCTAATCTGTCAGCATCCAGGGACTGCAAGAGTCCAGAGAGGGGCAGAGGCAGCAGGGCTAATTAGAGGCTGATGGCTGCTCCTGGCTCTTCAGCTGCTCACCCTCCCAGAATGCCCACCAGCCTGCTGTGCAGGGAACAGCTGCCCTCTGGGTTACAGAGGAGCCTCATTCCAAGCTTACCCTGTGGAGAAAGGCCACTGATCCTGGTAGACCAGCCCACAGCCAGGAGGTTCTAAGTCTCGCTTCAGTCCCAGCACGGTGCCAAAAAGCGAGACAACACTTAACAAGAGTGAATAGCTTGTAAGTCAAAATGAAGTAAAAACACAAACTTGGACATTAAAATTTATTTGAATTTATATTAAAAATGGAAATATTCTACTTAAATAATAATTCATCTGGGTCTTCTTGTACAATGCAAACTTCTTCCATGGGAGTCTGCTGATTTTGAGGCCAGCAACTCTTCTCACATGTGTAAATTAGAACTGTTCCAAATTCCACAGAAAGACCTGAAAAATATAACAAAGTCAGGATCCCAGCAAAGAGCAACTGTTATGAGATACACTCAATATTTGAGTTTGCTTAGTGGATAGAGTCCACTCTGGAGCAAGACTTTAGGTTCGTATTCCAGCTCTACCACTTTTAGCAAGTGACTTCACCTCTGTGTAATAATGATTAGATTCATCACAATGTTGTGAGGCGGATTAAATAAACTAGTCCAGCCCTAACCGGTTTGGCTCAGTGGATAGAGCATCGGCCTGAGGACTCAAGGGTCTCAGATTCGATTCTGGTCAAGGGCATGTACCTTGGTTCGGGCACATCCCCAGTAGTGGGTGTGCAGGAGGCAGCTGATCGATGTTTCTAACTCTCTATCCCTCTCCCTTCCTCTCTGTAAAAAATCAATAAAAATATTTAAAATAAATAAGTAAGTAAATAAATAAACTAGTCCATGTAAGATACTTATAACAGATGGTGGCACATGTTCTGTGTTTACCATCAAACAAAGAGATTAACTAATTAGATGATGATAGAAGGAAAGGAGAAAGATGGCTCAATATCAGGATAACTGATACAAGGAGTGATTTCAACTTACAAGCTGAAAAAATAATTACGTAAAGCAAAAACAGTGTTCACTAACTTTCACTCACAATACAGTCACACTCTTTCCTACATTAAGTGACCACTGATGACAAAAAGCAGATTTAACAGGAAAATATAATTTAAAAATAAACGAAAATCGAAACAAGTCTTCATTACAGCTGTCTAGACCATCTGACATTTAAAAATACATCACTCCAACAGAACCCACTACCACCAAGAAAGGACTCAGGCAAAAAATAGAAAATAAATCCTAAGAGTTATAGAAATGTATCAGTGAATGGAGCCATGAAGAATGGTACCAAGGAAACATGAGCAACACAACTCCTGCTAATATCAGAAAAGGAAGACAGGACAACAGAATGAGGTGGATAACTGGTTTGAAGCAGCCCAGGGGAAAAAATGTAGACAGGTTTAATGGAAAGAAAATGATCAAAGCCAGACGACAGAAGACCAAAATAGAGCTGATTTTGGGGAAATAACCTCGTGTATTTGAAATAATTTCTAACAAGCATGTGCAAAAGCATTTGCAGAGGACAGGAGAAGGCTGGAGCCTCAGAACTATTAACCACAGGGTTAGGAAAAAAGGTAGTACACGAAATAAAATACCACCTGGCCGGTGTGGCTCATGGCTGAACTTTGACCTATGAATCAGGAGGTCACGGTTCGATTCCCGGTCAGGGCATATGCCATGGTTGCGGGCTCGATCCCCAGTGTGGGGCATGCAGAAGGCAGCTGATCAATGATTCTCTCTCATCAATGATGTTTCTATCTCTTTCTCGCTTTCCCTTCCACTCTGAAATCAATAAATATATAAAGAAAAAAAGAAATAAAATACCGAGTACCTGAGTAGTGATACTGAGTACCTGAGTAGTGTACATGAAGGCCCCGAATTTCATGCACTGGGCCTCTAGTATATATATAAAAAAAATTAAAAAACAAAATAAAAAACAGCCTAACAACAACAAAATAAACTATTATTTAAAAAAATTAGCCGTCGCCCTAACCGGTTTGGCTCAGTGGATAGAGCGTCGGCCTGTGGACTGGGGCAGGGGTTGGAGGTTGGGGGCAGGCTGACGGGGATCAATGGGGGAAAAAAGAGGGTATATGTAATACTTTCAACAATAAAGATTTGTTAAACCAAAAAAAGGAAAATGCAAATGAAAAGTATGATAAACATAAAGCATAACAAAAGATGATACATATAAAAACAAACTCAGCCGAAGCCGGTTTGGCTCAGTGGATAGAGCGTCGGCCTGCGGACTGGGGGGTCCCAGGTTCGATTCCGGTCAAGGGCATGTACCTGGGTTGCGGGCACATCCCCGGTGGGGGATGTGCAGGAGGCAGCTGATCGATGTTTCTCTCTCATCGATGTTTCTAGCTCTCTATCTCTCTCCCTTCCTCTCTGTAAAAAATCAATAAAATATATTAAAAAAAAAAAAAACAAACTCAGCCCTAACTGGTTTGGCTCAATGGATAGAGCGTCGGCCTGCAGACTCAAGGGTCCCAGGTTCGATTCTGGTCAAGGGCATTTACCTTGGTTGCCGGCACATCCCCAGTGCGGGGTGTGCAGGAGGCAGCTGATGGATGTTTCTCTCTCATTGATGTTTCTAACTCTCTATCCCTCTCTCTTCCTTTCTGTAAAAAGTCAAAATATATTTAAAAAAATAAAAAATAAAAACAAACTCAGTATTTACAATAAATTGAGTAACCTTAAAAAATAAACAAATAGCCCTGGCTGGTTTGGCTCAGTAGGTAGAGCGTCGGCCTGCAGACTGGAGGGTCCCAGGTTCGATTCCAGCCAACGGCACATGCCTGGGTTGCGGGCTCAATCCCCAGTAGGCGGCGCGCAGGAGGCAGCCGATCAATGACTCTCTCTCATCATTGATGTTTCTCTCTCTCTCCCTCTCCCTTCCTCTCTGAAATCAATAAAAAATATCTCTCTATATAAAATCCTAATATGCAAAGTGTCCCCTCGGGAGTTCAACCAGGAGACCAGGAGTTTGATTGCTCGCCATGACGTCCACTGACCACCAGGAGGTGGCATGGAAAGAAGGAAGGCTCCGGCCGGCAGCCTGAAGGCCCTGATCGGCCCTGATCACTGCCCAGGCCTAGGGACCCTACCCGTGCATGAATTTCATGCACTGGGCCTCTAGTATATATAAAAAAAATTAAAAAATATAATAAAAAACAGCCTAACAACAACAAAATAAACTATTATTAAAAAAAATCAGCCCTTGCCCTAACCAGTTTGGCTCAGTGGATTGAGCGTCGGCCTGCAGACTGAAAGGTCCCAGGTTCGATTCCGGTCAAGGGCATGTACCTTGGTTGTGGGCACATCCCCAGTAGGAGGTGTGCAGGAGGCATATGGTCGATGTTTCTCTCTCATCGATGTTTCTGACTCTCTATCCCTCTCCCTTCCTCTCTGTAAAAAATCAATAAAATATATTAAAAAAAAAAATCAGCCCTGGCTGGTTTGACTCAGTGGATAAGGCATCGGACTGCAAACTGAAAGGTCCCAGATTCGATTCCGGTCAAGGGCACGTGCCCGGGTTGCAGGCTCAATTCCCAGTTGGGGGCGTGCAGGAGGCAGCTGATTGGTGATTCTGTCTCATCATTGATGTTTCCATCTCTCTCTCTCCCTTTTCCTTCCTCTCTGAAATCAATAAAAATATATTAAAAAAAAAAAAGTTAAAGCCTCTGTCCATGTAAATCTTCATAACATCTTTATTTGTAATAGCCCCATGTGGAAACACATTAACATTAAAAAAATGTCCATCAATAAAGTGTGATGTACCCATAAAATAGTAATCAGCAACTATAAGATGCGATCTATTGCTCTAGCTGGTGTGGCCCAGTGGTTGGAGTGTCTGCCCACACACGAAAGGGTCCCATTTTTGATTCCTGGTCAAGGCCATGTGCCTGAGTTGTAGGTTCAATCCCCGGCCAGGTTGGGATGTGTGGGGGAGACAACCGATTGATATGTCTCTATCACAGCAATGCTTCTCTCTCTCTCTCTCTCTGTAAAACATCAATAAAAAAATCCTTGGGTGAGGATTAAAAAAAGAAAAAAAGGTGTGATCTATTGATATACAATATATGGATGTATCTCAAAGTAATTATTAGTAAAAATAAACAAACAAAAAGTAAATGATTCCATTTATAAAATTTCTAGAAAATGCAAACTAATCTATAATGAAAAGTCAATTGGGTTAATAGAAGGGGTAAAACAGGATACAAAGTGCTTGAGAAAACTTCTGAGAGTGATGAACACATTCATAACTTTGACACTGGTAGTGATGATTTCATGTGTATACATATGTCAATACTTAGCAGACTGCACACTTAAAATATATAGTTTTGTTATATGCCATTACATCTCAATAAAGCTATTTGCAAAAAATTCTAATATATTAAAATGGAAAAAATTACCCTAGTATATCAGAAAGAATGAGAGGCTATAAAACAGTATACCTATTTTTGTCCAAAAAACTGTTTTACATGTGTATAGACATAAAATATGTTTAGAGGAAAGTATAAGAAAATAAACTTGCGCCGAGACCGGTTTGGCTCAGTGGATAGAGCGTCGGCCTGCGGACTGAAGGGTCCCAGGTTCGATTCCGGTCAAGGGCATGTACCTGGGTTGCGGGCACATCCCCAGTGGGAGATGTGCAGGAGGCAGCTGATCGATGTTTCTCTCCCATCGATGTTTCTAACTATCTATCTCTCTCCCTTCCTCTCTGTAAAAAATCAATAAAATATATTTAAAAAAAAAAAAAAAAAAAAAAAAAAAAAAAAAAAAAAGAAAATAAACTTGCAATAAAAAAAGTTTCTTCTAGCCCTGGCCAGTGCGCCTCAGTTAGTTAGATGGGCGTCATCCTGTGCACTGAAAGGTTGTTGGGTTTAATTCCTGGTCGTGTGACTGGGTTGTGGGCGTGATCCCCAGTGAGGGGTGTGTAGGAGGCAGCCAAGCAATGTTTCACTTTCACATTCACATCGGATGTCTCTCTCTCTCTCTAAAAATCTATTAAAAAAGAAAAGTTCCTGCGGGAGGGTGGGAGCGGAGGGCAAAAAAAAAAAAAGAAAAAAGAAAAAGAAAAAGTTCCCTCTAGTAACTGACATTAGGAAGGCCTTTACTTCTTTTTGTTTTTTTAATCCTCACCTGTGGATTTTTTCCTTTTTTTTTTTTTAAGAGAGAAGAGAGAGGGAAACATTGATGTGAGAGACAATAGGTTGCCTCCTGCATGAGCCCTGACCAGGACCTGGGCCAGGGAGAAGCCTGCAACCAAGGTATGTGCCCTTGACTGGAACTGAACCTGGGACCCTTCAGTCTGCAGGCTGACACTCTATCCATTGAGTCAGACTGGCTAGGGCTTCTTTTTGTTTTGTTTTTAAGATTTAATATATTTTTATTGATTTCAGAGAGCAAGGAGAGGGAGAGAGAGATAGAAACATCAATGATGAGAGAGAATCATTGTTTGACTGCCTCCTGTACAGGACATTTTTTTATTATTATTGATTTGAGAGAGAAAGAGAGAGAGAGAGAGAGAGAGAGAGAGAGACATCACATCAATGATGAGAAACATCTATCAGTTGCTTCCTGTGGGTGACCTCCTGGGATGGAACCACAACCTAGGTATATGCCCTAGGGAATCGAACCCACAACATTTGGGTGTATGGGACGACACTCCAACCAACTAAGCCACCCAGCTAGGGTCTTTTCATTTTTTTCTAAAAATTTATAAAAATAACTATAATCACGTAAATGCAATTTGTAAAAGAATAATACATTTTTATTATATTATAATGAGATAAAAATAAATTTTTTAAAATATATCTTTATTTCAGGAGGAAGGGAGAGGGAGAGGGAGAGAGAAACATCAATGATGAGAGAGCAACACTGATTGGCTGCCTCCTGCACACCCCTTACTGGGGTTTGAGCCCGAAATCCAGGCATGTGCCCTTGACCGGAATAAAACCCAGGACCCTTCAGTCTGCTCTATCCACTGAGCCAAACCGGATAGGGTGAGATGAAAGTAATTTTAAGGACAGAAAATAGTGTGGCCTTAAATCAACTAAATTGTTATCAGTGCATTCATTAGATTGAATTATAAATTTCCTTACCATAATTTCAATTTCCCAAATTTTCTGTAATATGCTTATATTCTATTAATAAGTAAAACAAAATAGTCTTTTATTTAAAAATAATTCCAATTTAGTGTCATAAATCCACAAAGTCAAATTAATAAAGGGCTTATTACCTAAATTAGCACTTCTTAGCATGCTGACCAGTGCTGGCATAAGCTGAAACTCAAATGTCCTTTGGCCTCCGCAGTGGCTGCAGGCGGGGAGCTCAGTGACTTCTGAGGTAGGGCAGGTCAAAAACAGTGGTTGTCCACTCCAGGAATACCTAGGCACCGAAACAAAAAACACGGAGTCAGGACCAGTACAAGTCACATTGCAACATCTAAGAGCTCACTTTGCAAACTGTTTCTTTCTTGCAGAGTACCAGGCCTAAGCCAGAGAAAAAGAAAATCCACAGGTTCACAACACCAGCAGCAAGCCTGTAAAGCATGGCAAGATATCTGAAGTTTTATCAATACTTGATTCAAAGTTTGGATGAAGGCACAAAAGCCAATGTGGAACTGAATCTAAGTGAAAATGCCACAAAGCCCAGATTCAGCTCAACTGCAAATTAAGTGGAATCAGACCTCCTCACTACTGGCATGCCCTTCTAAGGAGTAAATATTTACTTTAGTAACTACCTTTCTTCAACATATAATTTCTGGTAAACAATTTTTTAAAAAAAGTTATTAGATATGCAAAGAAGCAGAAAAATTTAATCCAGCCCTAACCGGTTTGGCTCAGTGGATAGAGCATCGGCCTGCGGACTGAAGGGTCCCAGGTTCGATTCCGGTCAAGGGCATGTACCTTGGTTGCGGGCACATCCCCAGTAGAAGGTGTGCAGGAGGCAGCTGATCGATGTTTCTCTCTCATCGATGTTTCTAACTCTCTATCCCTCTCCCTTCCTCTCTGTAAAAAATCAATAAAATATATTTTTTAAAAAAACAAAACCCAAACTGTTAAGTTGGACTCGATCAAAATTTAAAACTTTGCCTAAAAAGACCCTATTAATAAAATGAAAGGCAAGCCACAGAAAGGGAGAAAATATTTGAAATGTATATAACCTCAAAAAGAACTCATATCCTGAAAATATGAGGAATTCCTACAGTTCAACAACAAAAAAATAAATGACCCAATAGAAATATGGTGGAAAGATCTGAACTGATACTTTCCTAAAGATGACAGATACAGGTGGAAAACAAACACTTGAAAAGATATTCAGCATCATTAGTTGTTAAGGAAATACAAATTAAAACCACAAGGAAATACTCCTCCTCCTACTACTACACATCATCTAATATGGCTAAAATTAAACACTGACCATATGAAGTACTGGCAAGGATGTGGAGGAACTAGAATTCATTTTTTTAAGGCTTTTATTTATTTTTTAAGAATATGTTTTTACTAGAGGCCCAGTGCGCGATATCGTGCAAGACCCAGACCTGCTGCACTGGTGGGACCCAGACTGACTCCCACCGTGCCGGGCGGGACGTGGGACTCAGAGTCAAGTCCCCACCCACCCGCGTGCGCCTCGCTGTGCACACAGCCTCCTGGTGACCAGTCTTTGGTCGTTCCACATTACAGCATCATAGCACAGGCCTTTTATTAGTAGAGATTGATTGCAGAGAGAGGAAGGTAGAGGGAGAGAGAGAAACATCAATTGTCAGCAGCTTCCTGTACACCCCCCACTGAAGATGGCCGGAAACCTGGGCATGTGCCGACCCTGAATCAAACTGTGACCTCCTGGTTCTTGGGTCGATGATCAACCACTGAGCCACACTGGCCAGGTATAAGGTTTTTATTTATTTATTAGTGGCCCGGTGCATGAAATTCATGCACAAGTAGGGTCCCTAGGCCTGGCTGGCTATCAGGGTCGATCGGGGCCTTCTGGCTGCCGCCGGGGCCTCCCTTCCCCGGCTGCCGGGGCCTTCCTTCATTCCACGCCACCCCCTGGTGGTTAGCACGTCATAGTGAGCGATCGAACGCCCAGTATCCCGATCGAACTCCCAAGGGGACACTTTGCATATTAGGCTTTTTTATATATAGAAAATATAGAGGATTTTTACATGTATTTTTTCTGATTTCAGTAATGCAGCACTAAACTGTGCAAAACTGAAACAAATTGGATGGGAACACTTAAATACCCAATGATATATCTATAAGCAAAATCAAATAACAAATCAAGAAAATTAATCATAATAATAAAGGCTAATCTCTGTAATACAGGGTGTCCCCCCAAAAATATATACACACTGTAACAGCTGATAGCACAATTTAAAAAATTTTATGTTTTATTGATTTTAGAGAGGAAGGGAGAGGGAGAGTTAGAAACATCAATGATGAGAATCATTGATTGGCTGCCTCCTGCACGCCCCCCACTGGGGATGGAGCCCGCAACTCAGACATGTGCCCTTGACCAGAACTGAACCTGGGACCTTTCAGTCTGTAGGCCGATGCTCTACCTACTGAGCCAAACTGGCTAGACCTGATAGCACAATTTTGAAAATGAGACGTATTTTAATAAACACTGCCCTTATAATTATTCAAAGTGCATATATACATTTTTGGGGATACCCTAGATAAGAGTTCCTGAAAATCAAAAGGACTAAGAACTTATGGGAACATGAGTAAAGGATATGAGTAGATAGAAATGATTCAAAAACATAGAGAAAGATGTAAAAAAAAAATTTTTTTAGAAAGTAAAATTATACCAAGATGCCCTTTTACCTTGAATTGGTAGAAATACAAAAGCATGAAGCTCACACTATTGGTAAGACTATAGGAAAACAGACACTATAGACTGCCAGTAAGAATTAAACTTTGATATATCACCAGTAGGAATTAAAGTAGCAAAAGTTTGGGAATAACATTAAATGTCCAAGAAATACTGACAAGGGACTACACAGTACTATAAAGCTTTTCTTAAAACAAAATTCTCAATGTACTACAAAAATACAGTACTCCTAGATACAATGTAGAGTGAAAAAAGCAAGGTCCAGAATCTGCCTCAAATGCATCCTTTTGTGTAAAAAAAAAAAAAAAAAAGTAATACATAACCATTATATTTGTTTATACATGCATAAAGAAACTATAAGCACACATAGGAAACTAACAACAGTGGGTACCTCAGTAGACTGTGGATGGCAAGAAAGGAATCATTATATTTACACATATATGCTTATGTACACATTTTTATATTTGAGACTTAGGAATACAGTACCTATTAAAAATTTAGTTTAAGAAAAAGCAGAAAAAAACATTTTGAAGAATTTTTTTTTTTTAATTAAATTTTTATTGTTCAGATTACATTTGTTCCTCTTCCCCCCCCACATAACTCCCCTCCTTCCAGTTCCCACCCCACCCTCCGCCCTCACTCCCCACCCACTGTCCTCATCCATAGGTGCACGATTTTTGTCCAGTCTCTTCCCGAATCTCCCATTCCCCTTCCCCCCCCAAGAATAGTCAGTCCATTCCCTTTCTATGTCCCTGATTCATTGTAATCACCAGTTCATTCTGTACATCAGATTATTTATTCACTTGATTCTTAGATTCACTTGTTGATAGATGCATGTTTGTTGTTCACAATTTGTATCTTTACCTTTTTCTTCTTCCTCTTCTTAAAGGATACCTTTCAGTATTTCGTATAATACTGGTTTGGTGGTGATGAACTCCTTTAGCTTTTCCTTATCTGTGAAGCTCTTTATCTGACCTTCAATTCTGAATGATAGCTTTGCTGGATAAAGTAGTCTTGGTTGTAGGTTCTTGGTATTCAGCACTTTGAATATTTCTTGCCATTCCCTTCTGGCCTGCAAAGTTTCTGTTGAGAAATCAGCTGACAGTCGTATGGGTATTCCCTTGTAGGTAATTGTGTCTCTTTCTCTTGCTGCTTTTAAGATTCTCTCTTTGTCTTTTGCTCTTGGCATTTTAATTATGATGTGTCTTGGTGTGGTCCTCTTTGGATTCCTTTTGTTTGGGGTTCTCTGCGCTTCTTGGACCTGTAAGTCCATTTCTTTCACCAGGTGGGGGAAGTTTTCTGCCATTATTTCTTCAAATAGGTTTTCAATATCTTGCTGTCTCTCATCTTCTGGCACTCCTATAATTCTGATATTAGTCCACTTGAAGCTGTCCCAGAGGCTCCTTACACTATCTTCACACTTTCGGATTCTTTTTTCATTTTGCTTTTCCAGTTGGGTGTTTTTTGCTTCTTCGAATTTCAAATCTTTGGTTTGATTCTTGTGCTCCTCTGGTCTGCTATTGGGTATAATATTCTTTATTTCCGTCCGTGTATGCTTACTTTCTAATTTCTTTATCGTAGCATCGAGGGTCTCATTAGTTTTCGTGAGGCTCTGCTCAAGTTTATTGCAAGCCCTCAAAATTGCGATTCTTAGCTCCATATCCTCCATTTCTGTCATGTTTTTTTGTCTCCGCATCTTTTATGCTTTCTTGGTGCACCCCCTTGTGGTCTCTGTGCGCAGTCTTGTTCTAGCCAAGCCTTAATTGTTGTAGTTAACACTAGAGGGATTTGACCAGCAGACCGACTGGCTGTAGGATTCTGGGGAGGCGCTAGTCCTGCCCTTGCCTGAGGCGATCGGCAAATGTCTGTGCGCAGTGCCTGGGCGGGGCGGGCTCAACAGGGCGGGGGGAGGGAGCCGCTATGGCCGCTCTCAGTCCGTCCCCAAGGGCTCTGCCTCTCTGTCCCAGTAATCGCTGCAAACCTCGGAGGGGCCGTAGCCAGACAGTCCCGCTTCTTCCGTTTGAGTCTGGGTCCCTAGAGACTCGCCTGGATCTGTAGCCCAGAGTCTGAGACTCACTCCTGAGTGAAAACGTCAACCGCGCCCTCAGCCACCAGCCCGCTTTGCGCGCGCACTGCCGCACCACCGTACCTTTAAATTTTCCACACTGCGCCTCCTCTAAGCCTCGTAATGCTGTTGTTTTTCCTTCTAGTTGAAGAGTCCCTCCTCAGCCAGCCTTCCTGTGGTTCTGGGTGATGTCCGTTCCGTCTTTTAGTTGTATTTTTGAAATGGTTGTTCAAGGCAGCAAACTCCGGTGTTTACCTATGCCGCCATCTTGGTTTTCCCCTCATTTTGAAGAATTTTTAATATACAACAACCGTTCAATACCAATGAATGTTTATTGAAAAGAAAAATTATTAATACTAGGATCCCAACCCTTGAGTCCGCAGGTCGACGCTCTATCCACAGAGCCAAACCGACCAGGGCCCAATTATATTTTTAAAAAATACACAATACCTACCTGCATCCATGCATCCAAATGCATAAAAAAATAAGTGAATGTAATATACTAAAATCTTAGCTTCAGTTTTAGGCATACTGGTTTTCTCACTTTACTTTCCTGTGTTTTCCAAACTAACATATCAAGAGAAACAATAAAAGAAAATTGTACCTTTACCTCAAAATCTGCTCCTGACAAGCAGAAATTCTCTTCATGAATTTGTAAAATATCTTATCTCCACTTTTAATTATGGTCTTCTCATATTTTTCATTACCATCACTAGGAAGACTAAAAAGAGAATCAGAAAATAGTTTTGAGTATCTATATCTAGAGAATTATAGTATTTAGAAGAGCAAACAAGGTAATTAAAAAAAATCTTTTTACCAAAGTTAAAATATGCAAACAATTTAATACATTATAATGTATAACAGTAATCCCCTTGCCCACCCTTTTCCCATGCCCTGCTCCCTAACCATTTTCAACTCTGGAATAATGGTTTGCAATGTGAAGAGTCACTGTGCCCAATGACTCCTGCCATTTCTTTCTCCATTTGGATTATTTTCAAACACCAACACGTCTTTATGCAACCCAAAATTATTCTGAAAAAGCTTATGAATGAAAGAGCTCTGGTACAGAACCAGGTCATCTCTCCAAATATCTTGTTGTAATTATAACAGCAAAATAATCATGCTTACGTCTTTAGAGGGCTTTGGTTTACATAGCCCTCCAAGACCTACTCTCTCACTTGACTCCCAAAACCATCCGATGATAAGACAATATTTATCAAAGTCACTTCCATTTTACATGTCAGAACAGAGGGTCATCCAACTGAACCACACTGGTCAGGGCACAAATAGCATTTTCTAACTTACCTGTCTCAGCTATACATTTAGAAAGAGAAAACAAGAGAGATAGTGAACACATCTTCTGTAAGTAGTTGGCATCCCTAACTTCTGTTTTCAAGCTAACTCAAGAAATTGAAGCAAAAAGGTCTTACACAGACAAAAAGTTCTCCCATGTATTAGGGTAAAACCAAAGGGTATCTACTGTGGCAGCTTTCTGATCAAGTCACCTCTTAACCTCAGCTGCACACACTCTCACCTTTGGGAAAGCAACTGTTCCATATCAATTCCTTCTCGTTGTTGATATTCCCTGAGAAGACTATGCGCATGATCTAGACTGACAACGTCTCTGTAATCATCCTCATCTACCACACAGATGTAGTGGGGCAGGAACTGTGGCACCACAGGAGGCAAGGCCATCCCTTCCCCAGGAGGCACAGGAAGAGCAGCATTCGTGTGAGTTTCCTGAAGGCGGAGGTCTTGGAGCTGGGCAGTCCAGTCTGTGTCCTTGGCACTGTTCGAATCCTTTCCAAAACCCAAGGTACGCTGTGGTGAAGGCGCCTCCTCATTGTCACCTCCCCAGTCATCCGCACCCTCACACCACTCCTCAGCTGCAAGGCCGTTTTCCTGTTTCTGGAAGAACATCCAGTGAATGAGGTCCACACACCTGGGTGATCTCACCTATTCCCCTGGCTTCAGCCACTCATCCCTTCACCTCTCGGAGGCAGGCTTCACGCAGCCACTTCCCTTCTAGCACAATCTGATTCACTTCATGGACCCCATTTACTCAAAAGCATGCTGGAGGTGGCAGATAGTGTCTTTCCTCTTTAGGGGCAGTATGGCAGATGCAGGACAGTGCCTTGTTCAACCACCTGTTCCACACTCTTTCGGTTGTGCTTCATGTATTGCAGAATCTAGCAGAAAAGAATTACATTTCCCAGACTCCTTAGCAGCTAGGGGTCCAAATATGATCAGGGGTCTGCTAATCAGGTCCACCAGAGAGAAAGACAAACTTGAGAGGCCATGAAGCAAAAGTCTGCAGATGGAGAGAGAGCATGGCTCTGGAGTCAACAGTTCTGAACAGGTCAACTACCAGTTCACGAGCCCACACCTCAGCTTCCTGACGGCGGCAGAGGTAGCCTAGCAGCTCCCTCACAGACCAGTCCTGAGGTGTCATTCTGGAGGTCATTCCTGGAGTTGCCTTCTCCAGCCTGTCCAGTACGTTAGCAAAAATCTAATTTTAAGTCTCACCTTTAAAAAGTCAAATTGCTTGTCTATTATCTGCAATTGAACCCTGCAAATATAGGCAGACACCACAGTCATCTTTTTATCCCCAGTATTGCTAGTACTGTGCTTGGCACATATTAAGAACTCTCTCTCTCTCTCTCTCTCTGGCAATATTTATAGGCAAAGGGAGGCTGAAATTTGTTCTGCTGCTACCAATTTGCCTGACTTTTAGATTATTAAATTCAGTGTTTGTCTTATTAAATGAGTTATATACATATATACATATCACAGTAAGAATATTTATTATAAACACATATATGTATTACATACAACCATGTATATGTATATACTCATACTTTTTCCCAAACAAAAAAAATCAGTAAGCTATGTGCCTCAAGACCTTCAGTGTATATTAAAAGAAACAACTAGCCCTGACTGGTTTGGCTCAGCGGCTAGAGCGTAGGCTTGCTGACTGAAAGGTCCCAGGTTCGATTTCAGTCAAGGGCATGTACCTTGGTTTCGGGGCACATCCCCACTAGGGGGTGTGCAGGAGGCAGCTGATCGATGTTTCTCTCTCATCAATGTTTCTAACTCTCTATCCCTTTCCCTTCCTCTCTAAAAATAATCAATAAAATATATTTTTAAAAAAGAAACAACTAACAAAACCTTAAAGAAATAGCATTTTATGGTTCAGAAAAGAGCAAACAACATTCCAAATGCCCCTAGCCGGCTTGGCTCAGTGGATAGAGCATTGGCCTGTGGACTGAAGGGTCCCGGGTTCCATTCCAGTCAAGGGCACATGCCCGGGTTGCAGGCTCGATCCCCAGTAGGAGGCATGATTCTCTCTCATCATTGATGTTTCTATCTCCCCTCTGAAATCAATAAACATATATTAAAGAATTAAACTTTGATATATCACCAGTAGGAATTAAAGTAGCAAAAGTTTGGGAATAACATTAAATGTTTGTCTTAAAGTTTGTCTTAAACGATATTCTATAAAATACCCTGAAGTCACAGCAAATCCTAACATGCACAACCGCTTTACCTGAGTGTCCGGCACTTCTTTCTCTCGCATCTGCAGGAACTGGGAACGGAACACCTGCCAGCTTCAGGGTAAAGATAACTGCGGTGAGGGCCCCACTCCCGACCGCCGGCCGGCTGCCCACCCAGCCCGGTGCGCCGGGGCGGCCCCAGCACCTGCCACCTACCTGCGCGCCCCGCCGCCGCCGCACCCGGGGCTGGGGCAAGCGAACACGTGCAGTAGCCGATGGAACGAGGAGCCTTCCAGCGGGCAGTACACCTGCACGACCAGGGCAAGCGGCTGCCTGCAATGTTCACACACTGGCCTCGGCGCTGCTACCGCGGGCAGGGCGTCCTGAGGGCGGGGGCGGCGCTCAGACCCGGACAGCGCCCGGGACCCAGCCCACCCCTCACTCCGCACTAGCACCCGCCGACCCGACTCCGGCGCCCCATCTCACCGGAAGGCCGCCCAGCTTGCTAGCTGTCCAGGCGCCTGGCCCTGTGGGGCAGCCATGCACCGCTGCGTCCGGAAGACCGAGCAGTACTGGCTTCCGAACGGCAGCCATGACGACAGGGGACCCACGTGAACAGACGAACTACGGCCGCCCAGACGGTGCGCCCCGCTGCGCACGCGCACCTCCTGCCTCCGCGAGCCGGCCCCGCCCCCTTGAGGGCCTCTGAGGTGGGAGCCCAGTTGCCGGCTGCTGCTCTGCTGGGCTCAGAATCGGAGCCCCAGGCACTTGTGTGCCTCCAAGTGCATTGCAGTAGGAAGTACGCACACTTATGAAGTAGTGTTGCCATAAAGTTTTACCTGAAATAAGCGAGGTAATAGTATTATGGTTAACAAGAAAAAACAAAGTCCATAATTTTTAGAGATACACATAAAAATGCTTATAGATGAAAGGATGTATGAGACTTGCCAAAGCATGATGATGGGGTAGATGAAATAAGGTCATGAGGTGGTAATTATTGAAATTGGGTGTCAGGTACATGGAGGTTTTCTATACTGTTATAGTTTGAAGTTTTCCATAATACAGTTTTTTAAATGCACAACCTTAGGTGAACTTCAAAAACATGCTAAGTGCAAGAAGCCAGACACAAAAGGCCGCATTCTGGAAAAGGTGAACTTTAAAGATAAAGGAATCAGACCACTGATTGCCAGGATTTGGTTTGGGAGGTAGGGACTTGTTAGAGGAGGCGGACAGAAAGATGAGCTGGGAGAGGCAGCTGGGGCTTGGAGGCAGTAAGTGCCAGACCTGACAAGCTGAAAACAATGGAGGTGGCAGGCCTTTATGTGAGCAGGAAAGAGAGCTCTCCAGAATGAGTCTAACTGGTGGCATTGTAGGTGAAGGAGTCTTGTAACTTAAAGACACATTTTTGGGGGGAAATAAGGGAAGGGAAGACTTACTAAAGGCCACTCCAGTCTAGGGATATAAATATCCCAAACCCCACCAGGCAGGACACTCGGTTCCGTTTCGGCCAGCTTAGCTACCCGCTCAGGTCCTCTCTGAGTGTATTGCTTTCCTACAGATAATTCCTTGCCTGTTTTTGCTGTTTTTTATTGCCTTTTGTTTGACTTTATTTGTACAAGCGAGATAAAAACAGGGGATACAGAGGACTGTCTGGCCAGAAGTTATCTCTGGCCAGAGACCCCCTTGTCCACCGCTGACAGATTACACAAAGGGATGCCAGGAACTTTTTTGGGTGATGAAAATGCTGTATATCTCAACTGTGTGGTTACATGACTGCATACATTTGTCAAAATTCAGAACTGTACACCAAAGGAAGGTGAATTTTACTATATGTAAATTATATCTCAATAAACCTGACTTTAAAAAAAATGCTTGTTGCAAAAGCACTATCTCAGGCTTCATATCATAGGGTGCAAAAGAAATTAATGTTTTCAGGGACCCACACTGCTACCAAACTCAAGGAGTTTGCCACTTGGGGTGCTTTATTCAAAAATGAGACATGTGCCCTAGCTCGTTTGGCTCAAGCGTCAGCCTGCCGACAAAAAGGTCCCAGGTTCGATTCTGGTCAAGGGCACATACGTAGGTTGTAGGCTCCTCCCTGGCCCAGGCCCTGCAGGAGGCAACCAATTGATGTGTTTCTCTCACATCAATGTTTCCCTCTCTTCCACTCTCCCTAAAAATCAATGGAAAAATATTCTCAGGTAAGGATTAACAATAAATACATTTAAAAAAAAAAAAAAAGAAAAGAGCCCTTGGTTTGGCTCATTGGATGGAGCGTCGGCCTGCGGACTGAAGGGTCCCAGGTTCAATTCCGGCCAAGGGCACATGCTCAGGTTGTGTGTAGGAGGCAACCAATCAATGATTATCTCTCATCATTGATGTTTCTCTCTCTCTCTCCTTCTCTCATCCTCTCTGAAACAATACAAAAAAAAAAAAAAGAACTGTTTAGCCAAGCCAGTGTGGCTCAGTGGTTAAGCATCAACCCAGGAACCAAGAGGTCAATGGTTTGATTTCCGGTCAGGACACATACCTGGGTTGTGTGCTCAATGGCCAGTGGGAGGTATGCTGGAGGCAGCTGATCAATGATGTTTCTCTCTATATATCCCTCTCTTTTCCTCTCCCTCAAATAAATAAATATCAATAAAAATTTTTTAAAAAAGAAATAACTGTTTAGAACTGCCCAGACCTTGAGACTATTATCCTATCTAACATCTCAAAGGAGGACACAGGTGACTCAAAACGTTTGGCTCCAGCCCTAGAGAGGACCTGGAGATGAGACCAGTTTACTCCTGGTTTATGAATACCAATCTGATAGCTTTAAATGGGCTGTGAAGTCTGACCTTCGTGTCCACTTCAGGTCTAGCCAAAGAGCTGGATGACCTGACATGTTTCCCATGACATATTTTTAAATTAGAGCAAGAATGCCCTAGCTGGTTTGGCTCAGTGGATACGGTGTAGACCTGTGGACTGAAGAGTCTCAGGGTTCAATTCCAGTCAAGGGCACATGCCTGGGTTGTGGGCTCGATCCCCAGTGTGGGGCGTGCAGGAGGCAGCCGATCAATGATTCTCTCTCATCATTGATGTTTCTAACTCTCTCTTTCTCTCCCTTCCTCTCTGAAATCAATAAAAAATATATAAAAATAAAATAAAATAGTAAAAAAATTATACCAAGAAGCAAACTTCAAAATTCTTATGTTTGCTAACAGTTACTGACCACTCTCCAACATCAGTCACTTATTTACATCATAACACCTATTACAACCTCTTGATTGAAGTGTGATCGCAGCATGAAGGCCTACTGCTTAAGGTGAATTTTCAGGATACTAATTACTGCCACATTCTGGAATTCCAGAGGCAATTTAACATCAAAGTTGACAATTACATCATTACGGAGTTCTTGGAACAATGTCACAAAAAGTACTTGCATGTGTGAGATTTGAAGTAACTGGCTCAATTCATTATTTTGTAGGGTTTGAACCACCTGGCAAACCCACACATAACAAGTTATGATAGTTTGCATGAGGAAATACAGAACAAATATGTAGAAAGCTGCTTCAGTCTCACCCTGAAGAGCTACCTGTTTGTGATGGTTAATTTTATGCATCAGCTGGGCTAAAGGATGGCCAGATAGCTGGTAAAACATTTCTGAGATTGTGTGTGAGGGTGTTTCCAGAAGACAATAGCATTTGAATCAGTAGACTGAGTAACTAAGGTCGCTCTCAGCAATGTGGCTGGGCATCACCAAGAGCTGGAATAGAACAAAAAGGAAGAAGGGCAAATTCTATCTCTTCTTGAGCTGGGACATCCATCTTTTCCTGCCCTCAAACATCTGAGCTCCTGGTTCTCAGACCTTCACAGCAGTGGCTCCCCCGTTCTTAGGCTTTCTATTGATGTTCTGGTGAACGGAGACGCAGAGATGAGTCGGACGACAGGATACGGAGAAGCAGAGGGCTACCGCTCGCTCAGGCGAATAGCCAAGATCCTCTGATCCCTTCTGGCTTTTATTGGGGGTGAGCACAGCAAATAACAATGGAGTACAGCAAGTGACAATGATTAACAAACATGCTTTATGAAATCATCAAAGCTAAGTTATACATTACACTATTAATTTCCTATATTATACAAAGACTCTTTCCACCTGCAGCAGTGCACCCTCCCCCGAACTTTCTATGCCCTCATGGACTATTCATCATGTCAAGGAAAGTTCTGCCTCGGAACAATAAGTCTCGTGTGCAAGACTTTGTTCTGACGCGGCCTGTGTGCAGGTTTATGCCTTCTCCCGGCAGAGCGTCCTCTTCTAGTTAACTTCTTTCCGCTTGACCGCTACACTTTCAGACTCAGACTGAATTATACACCTGGCTTCTCTGGTTCTCCAGCTTGCAGACAGCATATCATGGGACTTTTCAGCCTCCATAATCACATGAGCCAATTCCTACAGTAAATCTCAAATAACTATATATATATATATATATATATATATATATATATATATATATATATATATAATTTAAGATTCATATATATATATTTCCTATAGTAAATCTCAATTAACTATATATATTTTATCGGTTCTATTTCTCTGGAGACCTCTAATTCATATACTGTTCAATACTTGAAATAACGCAGCCATAGGATACTTAAGTGGAAGCCACAAGTGATGATACTGGGAGTGGTGAGGGGCAGGAGAATAAGAGAAGGCAAAGGGACATGTGGCCAACTGTCATATGCCAGTTTCTCCTGCATAAAAGAAGACATGAGACCTGGCAGCTGGCTTAGAGCACAGTGGTCCCCCTGCTAACATATCTTTCACGTGAAGCCAAGTTAGTCTGAGAGGGTCTGCCACCTTGAATTTTCCTATCTGTACTTTTTTTGTGCTTGTCATTCTGTAATAGAGGAAGTGGCTGTGATAGGGAAAGGCCTTCACTTTTCATCAGCTAAATTAATAAAGGAGGTGGTGCCCAGCTGGTGTGGTTCAGTGGTTGAGCATCAACCCATAAACCAAGAGGTCACCAGTTTGATTCCTGGTCAGGGCATATGCCCGGGTCATAGGCTTGATCCCCAGTGGGGGGCAGCAGTTTGACATTTCTCTCTCTCTAAAAATCAATAAAGACATATTTTTTAAAAAAAGAAAAAAAGGAGGTGGATCAGCAGGAGCCTAAATAGAACTCAACTGTCAAAAAACACCTTTCTAGCACCTCTGCAAAGGTGGGGAGAGAAGTGGGCACTCACTTTTGGAATTAAAAAAAGAAACCTACTTCACTAATAGAAAGATGCCTACAATATCCAAGTATCATTTCAAGTGGACATTTGCACCTGTACGATCACTTTCTAGAATTAGGGTATTCCTCACTGAGACTTTGGGAGTGCAGTTTGCCTTCTTATAGGAGCAAAAAATATGAATCCTGGCTTTCCCTGTCTTAAGGAAGGCATGTGACCAAGCCAGAGTACAATGCAGAAGTGGGTGACCCAGGACGGAACAGGGTAACAGCAGCCCAGATGACCAGGTACAAGGCAGAAGGCTCCCAGTCTGGATTTTCGCATTCTGGTCTAGGGTGTATGTCCTGAATGTTCAGCCTCTAGCCTGCCCAACAATTCTGCCCCTCACTCTTTATTTTTTTTTTATTTTTAT